GGCAGATTGAAAAGATTCCTGTTGTGTATGTTGGGGCACTCCTATAATCTCAGCCAACCCTTGGGAGATGGAGGAGGCATGAGCATCAGGAGTTCAAGGCCGAGGGAAAGCTCCCACATTGAAACCACTTGCTCCTCAGCAGAAGATCTTCAGTCACTTCTGGTTTTCTGTTTGGTCACTTTTTTTTTTTTTTTTGGTTTTTCGAGACAGGGTTTCTCTGTGTAGCTTTGCGCCTTTCCTGGAACTCGCTTTGGAGACCAGGCTGGCCTCGAACTCACAGAGATCCGCCTGGCTCTGCCTCCCGAGTGCTGGGATTAAAGGCGTGCGCCACCACCGCCCGGCTTGGTCACTTTTTTTATAGATAGCAATAAAATGGTAGATTTTTACCCTCTCTTCTAGGTATTTTTTTCTGAGCAGTTAAAACACTATGTGTGCAGCCGGGTGGTAGTGGCTCACACCTTTAACCCCAGCCAGCCTGGGCTACGGAGTGAGTTCCAGGAAAGGCTCCAAAGCTACACAGAGAAACCCTGTCTCAAAAAAACTGTGTGCGTATGGGTGGAGGTCAGAGGACAGTTTTGGAGAGTCCCTTTTCTTCTACCTTGTGTTCAGGGGATCAGACTCAACCCATCAGGTTTGCATGGCAAGCACCTTTACCTGTTGAACTGACTCTGCGGCCCTCTGAACAATTTTTTGGAGTATAAGGCTTTTTTTGTTGGTTTTTCTGTGTGTAGCCCTAGCTGTCCTGGAACTCATGCTATAGACCAGGCTGGCCTTGAACTCAGATTGAACTCAGAGAATCTGCCTGCCTCTGCCTCCTGAGTGCTGGGAGTAAAGCCACCACACCCAGCTGGTTTTGTGGTTTTTAAAAGTGGAGGTAGGAAGTGTGCCATGACATACTTGTAGAGATCATAGAACAACGTTGGTATCATTCTCTTTTTTTTTCCTTTTCTTTTTTCTTTCTTTCTTTCTTTTTTTTCTTTCTTTTTTTTTTTTTTTTTTTTTGAGCTGAGGATTGAGCCCAGGGCCTTGTGCTTGCTAGGCAAGCGCTCTACCACTGAGCTAAATCCCCAATGGTGTCATTCTCTTCTACTGTTATGCTAAGCTGGTGGTTGAGCTCAGGTTATTAGGCTTGTGAGACAAACACCTTTACCTGCTGAACCAGCTTGATAGCCCCACTTTCTAAATTTTGGGGACTAGACCTAGCAGAAGTTGGTATGTGTGGATTTTATTATCTATGTTCCAAATTGACTTGGAACTCACCATGTAGCCCAGATTGGCCTTGAACCAGGATTATAGGTGTGCACCACCATACCTAGCTTACGTTTATTTTTAATGTGTGTATGTATGTCATTGCTTACTTTTCACAATCTGAAGAATTGAATCCAGGGCTCTTACGTGTTAGGCAAGCACACACACTGAGCTGTATCCCAGTTTGGCAAGCTTTCTACTGGTGAGCTACACTTCTAGCCCAAATGTGGGAAATGTTGGGCTGGTTTTTGTTTTCTCTTTCTGGTGGTGGTAGTGCACTGGATTGAACCCCAAAACCCATGTGCTCTATCCCTGAGCTGTACTACCAGCCTTCTTAAAATCTTTACTGTCTTGTGTAAAGTTGAATAATTTTACAGCTGGGTATGGTGGCTCATGCCTATAATACATCACCCACCGAAGGAGGCAGAACAGGGAGTATTGCCTCAGGTTTGAAGAAAGCCTGGTCTAAATAATGAGGTTCATGCCAGCCTGGACTATAGAGTAAGACCCTGTCTGAAGAACCAGGCTAGACTTTCAAGATAACTTAGTGGATAAAGCACTTCCCGACGAGCCTGATAGCTTATTGATCCCAGGAAGGACATGTTAGGAGGGAACCGCCTTCTGAAGGTTATCCTCTGCCCTTGTGCTGCAAACACTGACTAAATACAGTGGCTGAGGCAAAAGATGACTCACATACTTGATGCCAGCCTAGGCTACAGAGTTGAGACCCTGGACAACAAAAGGGAGGGGAGAAAACGTCTGTGGATTTGCTCTGGATTCAAGCTGTGCCAACCAACTCTGCTCCCACAGCCATACTAAAAAAAAAACAACAAAAAACTGCAGAAACCAAACCACTCCTTCTGCTTGGTGTGTATGTGGTTCCTGTTTTCATTCAGATTTGCATCTGGAAAGCATCTGCTTCACAAACAGCCAAATAAAAAGCCAACTAAAAGAAGTTCAGAAATGGCCCCAGAGTATACTGTACTGCTATGCATGCCTTCATTTGTGTTTTGATTACTGGAGTGTAGTTGCCGATTGTTATAGCAAAGATGCCTTGTCCTTGTTTTCAGTTCAGGGTTTATTGATTGGTCACTCCCAAAAAAGCTGGTGGCTTTGTACTTTTATTTCCCAATTGTTTGATTTTGAAACATCTTTCTTTGTTGGGCATACAATATTCATAATTTGCACAGGGCTCAGAATTCCAATTGACTGTCTGAGGGAAAACAGAAACAAAATGCTTTGGGGATCCCAAGGAAAGGAGAGAAATTTGGTTAGGTTGGGTGAGCTTTATGGGAGAAGTATCATTTCGGCAAGGTCTTGGAGAAACAGGAGGGTTCTGACTGAATACAACAAGGGATGGTTTTAAGCCACCTTGTGAATGCTGGAAATTGAACCCAGATCATCTGGAAGAGCCGCCAGTGCTCTTAACTACTGAGCCACCTCTCTAGCCCTGAGATTTGTTTTGTTTTTTGAAAGTATGTATTTCAGTATAGGTATGTGCACATGAGGGATCCCCTAGAGCTGGAGTTACATATGGACCTGAGCCATTTCACAGTTGTGCTAGGAATCAAACTCAGATCCTCTGTAAGAGCAGCAATAGCTCTTAATTGCTCAGCCATCTCTCCCACCCCAGTAGTGGTTGTTATGCAAAGAGTCTGTATTGCACTTGTTAAGAGTTCAAGTATCTGCCAGGGTGTAGTATGATGGGGACCCACCTTTAATCCCAGCACTTGGGAAGTAGAGGCAGGCAAACTGAGTTTGAGGCCAGCCTGATCTACAAAGGGAGTTCCAGGATAGCAAAGTCTACACAAAGAAACCCTGTTTCAAAAAAAAAAAAACCTGTTTCCAAAAACAAAAAGTTCAAGTTCAAGCATCTTTGTACATACAATTGAATGCTATAATAGAAGCAGGTGAGAATGGAGATCTTAAGGGCTGGGGAAATGGCATGGCTCAGTTAAATGTTTGCCACCAAAGTATAAGGACTGAGTTCAAATCCAAGTTCCTTTTACAGCAAGATGAGAGGTGGGGTGAAGAGTTTTCCAGATGCTAGGGGGCCAGATAGCCTGGGTAATAGAGTATAGCATGAAGAAACAAGAAACCTAGCCTCAGAAAAGCAAGATTGAAAGAACTAACTTCAGACAAGTTGTCCTCAAACTTGTACATGTACACTGTAGCATGTGCACGCCTGCACTGACACAGTTGAGAGTGTGTATTGTATAGATATAGTGGGCTGGCTATGCTGCCTTTCATCTCAGCACTGGAGAGCAGAGCAGGCAGATCGTGAGTTCTGGGACAGCCAAGGCTCCATAGGGAAACCCTGTCATGAAAAACAAGAATCTATGTTGCTCTTACAGAGGGCCCTCAGTTACGAGCACCCACTACATAGTTATCAGTAACTTTTTTCTTTTTTTTTTTTCCCCCTTCTTGGCAGGGTTTCTCTATATAGTGTTAGCTGTCCTGGAACTCACTCTGTAGACCAGGCTGGCCTCAAACTCTTAGAGATTCACCTGCCTCTGCCTCCCAGTGCTGGGATTAAAGATATGTGTCACCAAGCCCCCGCAGTTTGGTGGGTTTATATATATATATATATACACGTATATATACATATGTATATATACGTGTATATATATATATGTATGTATGTGTGTGTATGGGTGCCATGTGGTGGTTGGACTGTTGGAAATTGGTTCTCTCCATCCATCTTATGTGAGGCAGGATCTCTTTTTCTGTTGTACTTTGTACTCTGGGCTACCTAGCCAGTGAGTTTCCTAGCAATTCCGTCTCTTCATTCCATCTTGCTGTAAAATAGCTAGGATTACAGATGCACCCTACCACTTAGGGCTTTGTGTAGGTGTGTGTCTGCCTGTGGCTATATGCAGATGCCTGGGGAGGCCCGAGGTGTCCAATCCCTTGGAGCTGGAGTTAACCCCTTGTGAGCCCAGCTCAAGTCTTCTGGAAGAACAGCACCAAGTGCTCCTAACTACTGAGCCATCTCTCTAGCCCCTAGAATTAGATTTCTCAAGCTGCACAAAAATAGGTATCCTAGAAGTTCTTAGGTAGCTCACACTGTGTGTTTGACCAGAGGTCAACCTTGGGTATAATTTCTCAGATGCTCTCCACCTTGTTTTAGGTTTTTGTCATTGTTTTGAGAGAGTGTCTCTCCTTTCCCTGGTGCTTACTTAGTAGGCTAGGCTGCCTGGCTGCCCAGCAAGCCCCAGGGATCTAGCTATTTCTGCCTCCTTTGCACTGAACTTGGAAGCACACACCCTATTCCTGTGTTAGAAGGGTTCTGGAGATCCAACTCAGATCCTTATGCTTGCATGATAAGCACTTTACCAACTGAGATATCGACCCAGCCTTAGCCCATGCTTTTCTGTGGTAACAACTGGAACCTATGTCTACACTGGCTTAACAGGCTTCTTAAGCCTTTCCCGTTTCTTTGAATAGTTTATGCAAACTTCAAAAAAAGTGCTTAATGTTGTGTCTGATATATACACACAAAAAATAAATCAGTAAATATAATACAGACACATATATTAAGAAGTAGGTGTGGTACACAGTTATTCCCAACTATTCTGGAGGCAGAGGCAAGGGGATCTCAAGTTGAAAGCCAGCTGGGCAATTTAATTTAGCAAGACTGTCTGAAAATAAGGGGCTGAGATGTTCAGTGGTAGAGTGCTTACCTAGCACATTCAAGGGTCTTGGATTTAATCTCTATCTGAACAAGAAAAAAAATCTAGCATTATTCTTCATAAAGGTTTTGAATTTTTATTTATTGTGTTTGTACATGTATAAGTGCACACACATGCTGGTGCGTAGATGGAGGTCTGTCTGGAGTTGGTTCTCTTCTGCCACCTTGTGGGATCTGAAGGTGGAATGCAGGTCTTCAAGTCTGCCATCCCTCTTCTGTATAATTGGCCCTGGGAGGGTTGGTGAGAAAATCACAATGTTCTTTCTTTGACACATGCCTTTAATCCCATAACTCAAGGCAATCAGATCTCTTTTTAAGTTTGAGGCAGCCTGGTCTACAGAGCGAGAGCCAGAGCTACACAGAGTGGGAGGGGATGTTAAACAAATAAATAAGAAAAGGAAAAAAAAAAAAAAACAGGGCCAGCAAGGTGGCTCAGTGAGTAAAGGTGCTCCCTGTGCAAAACTGATCATCAGAGTTTCATCCTCAGAACTTTTGTCAGGCTGGGCAGAGGTGGCGCTCGCCTCTAATCCCAGCACTCAGGAGGCAGAGGCAGGTGGATCTACAGAGAGTTCTAGGACAGCCAGGGCTACGCGAGAAACCCTGTCTCAAAAACAAAGAGCCCTTGTTGGAAGGAGAAAGCCAACTTCCTGAAAGTTGTCCCCTGAACATCACACCCATGCTGTGTCGTACATGCACCCACATATATCATGCATAATAGATACATACATACATACATACATACATATATATTAGTTTGTGTTTGCTCTATAACTCAGGTTGCCCATAATTTGCAACCTTCCTGCCTTAGCCTCTCTTATTAAGCCTCCTGTGATTATAGGTACTCTTGGTAATTTGTTTTTTGTTTTATTGGGGGGGTTGTTTTTTTCAATGCTGGGAATTGCACCTAGGGGCTCATGTATACAAGCTAAGTGTTATGCTACCGAGCTATATCCACAGTTTTCCAAAACGTTCTTGGATGACATACTATAAAGTTCAGAATTCCTCTAATGGGAAAGGTTCCCTTTTTTTTCTTACATTAAGCTTCAGAAAGGTGGGGACCATTTCTTATTCTCTTGAGTCTCTAGAATTCAGCACACTATCTAAAACTTTTGTCCAAGGACACTGGTAATACCGGTTTAATCTGAGATTGGGGTATTAAACTAATGCATAACAATGCTCCTTCCGTGTCTTGGTTTGTTTGCCATGTTCCTTTGGGGAGGTGAGGGGATTAAGACAGGATCTCTCAATCTAGTCTGTGTTGACCTTAAACTCCTAATTCCCCTGCCTCCATCTCCCAGATTATGGGATTATAGGCCTGTGCCACCACACCTGGCCCATTTGCTTCATTCTTTGTATCTCATTCTGGATAATTGATCCATCCATTTCTAAGATTTTAGCCAATTTTGTTTGACCGGTATGTTACAGCGCCATCTACTGACACAAATTGGTAATTTTAAGGCTTTGGGCACTCTTTTCATCAAAGATGTTCTGAACATTTTATAGTATGCCACCCAAGAATGTTTTGAAAGCAGTCGGGAGGCAGAGGCAGGCAGATCTCTGAATTCAAGGCCAGAACGAGTTCCAGGACAGCCAGGGCTACACAGAGAAACCCTGTCGGGGCAAGCGGGGAGAGAGGATAATTAAAAAACTAATACATCAGAATTGAATGGATTAAAGGCAAGAGATTTACAAGGAACTAAAATTTTTATACTAGAAAAAATATATATATTTCATGGGCTTCCTGAGTTAGGGTATTGTGTAGACAAGGGTAACCTTGAACTCCTTGTGCTCCTACTAGGATCAGCCATTGCGCACCACCATGCCCAGTTGTTAGGGTCAAATGCAGGGCTCCATTCAGGGGAGACCAGCTCTCCACCAGCTGACCTGTATCCCCAGCCACACTGGGGATTTTCATCAAACAAAACCAACTTCAACTTCCCAACATGAAAGAACAAGTTGTTTCACCCATACATAATTCTGTGAGTGAGGGAGTGCGAGCGTGTGTGTGTGTGTGTGTGTGTGTGTGTGTTTTGTAGCATGTTTTAGACTTTTAGGGTTTGTTGTTGTTTTTAATTATTTCTTTCATGTGCATTGGTGTTTTGCCGGCATTTGTGTGTGAGGGTGTCCGATCCTCTTGAACTGGAGTTACAGACAATTGTGAACTGCCGTGTGGGTGCTGGGAATTGATCCCGGGTCCTCTAGAAGAGCAGCCAGTGCTCTCAACTGCTGAGCCATCTCTCCATCCCGAAGCATGTTTTAGAAAAGAATAAACTCAGGACCTACAAGGTAAAGCATTTGCCATGCAAGCCAGATGGCCTTGTTTTTATGTGGAACCAGGTGAAGGCAGAAGGAGAGGCCCAACTGTACAGAGTTGTCCTGCCTCACAGAAGATAAAGTAGACTGTATTTGAGGTAGCTATCTTCCTCTTGGCCCCCTGCTTATTTTCTAAATTATTGCAATTATTATACTCCAAATTAATAGTTATTCTGGTGCTTTTTCTAAGCAATCCTGAGTCTTAGAAATAAATTATAAAGTAAACTAGGTCAAATAACAGTGATTTATGGGCTAGGGCTGCAGCTTATAATCTTAGCACTCAGGTAGGAAGATACAAGATCAGAAGTTCAAGGTCATCCTCAGCTATATCATAAGTTCCAGGCCAACCTGGGTGAGGTGGCTTAGCCAAGCCCAAAATCCACATGGAGCTGATTCCCACAAATCGTCCCTTGACTTTTTTTTGGGGGGGGGGTTCAAGACAGGGTTTCTCTGTGTAGCTTTGCGCCATTCCTGGAACTCACTCTGTAGCCCAGGCTGGCCTCGATCTCACAGAAACCCACCTGCCTCTGCCTCCCGAGTGCTGGGATTAAAGGTGTGCGCCACCACTGCCCGGCTCGTCCCTTGACTTTTATGACACCCATATACACACTAAATGAGTAAATGCAGTAAAATAATTTTTTAAGTTTGAACTGTGAATTTATGATGGCATTCAAGAAAAGCAAAGTGAACAATGAAGGCACTTTTTAGCTGGACAGGGTAGCATACATCTATAATCCCAGTACTTGAAAGGTAGAGACCATAGAGACCAGATCGGGGATTCAAAGTCAGCCTGAGCTATATGAGACCCTGTTTTAAACAAAAACAAAAAAAACAAAACAAAACAAAAAATCAAATGATTAAATATATGTAACTGTGAACCAACATAGTATTTTAGGTATACTTTGTGGCAAAGAGGTATTAGGAGTTATTGTAAACTAGACTTAGTATAAAGTTGTAAATGGATGTAAGAATTCAGAAATTCTTCCCACACATTGTGGTATACACCTGTAATTCCATCACTTAGAAAGCTGAGGACAGCTTGGGCTTCACAGTAAGTCCTTGTCCAAAGGGAGAGGACAGAAAAGACACTAAGTTTGCTGTGGGATTAATGATGTGGCTAACTTCTTAGCAGACAGCAGACATGGCTGTGAACTGGAAATAAGTAGAGGATTATATTATATAAGCAGTGCCTCACACCTGATTTTTGTCTCGCAGTAAAGGTGCCCCGTGCCCTTTGGTTTCCCTCTCGTTTTAGCAGCGTCACCCTCTACACCGGAAAGCTGGCGGGGACTATGGGAAAAAAACAGAACAAGAAGAAAGTGGAAGAGGTGCTAGAAGAAGAGGAAGAGGAATATGTGGTGGAAAAGGTTCTTGATCGGCGAGTTGTCAAGGGCAAAGTGGAATATCTTCTGAAGTGGAAGGGCTTCTCAGAGTAAGTTCCAATGACACAGGCAAATTCAGTCACTGTGAGAGGAGTCAGGATGTGCTTGCTGCTTCTTCCGTGATGGCTATTCCTTGGTTCAGTCCTGACCTCCACAGCCTATAGTCTACTGAGGAAGGAGGGACCTGCATGCAGAGTGCTATAATATAATACAGCTTTTTGTTTTGTTTATTTGTGCATGTGGCCATGTGTGTCATGTAAATCCTGGGGTGAAAGTCAGGTCTTAGCCAGGCAGCCGTGGCGCACGCCTTTAATCCCAGCACTCGGGAGGCAGAGGCAGGCGGATCTCTGTGAGTTCGAGGCCAGCCTTATCTACAGAGCGAGATCCACGACATGCTCCAAAAGCTACAGAGAAACCCTGTCTGAAGGAAAAAAAAAAGTCAGGTCTTCAGGCTTGGTGGTGGCTCCTTTTTCCCATTGAGCCGTCTTGCCAGTCCACTTTTGCAAAGTAGGCAAGTTTCTAAGCCTTTGATCTGTACCCTCCCCTCCTAGGAAAGTTCTTAATCTTGAACAAAAATCTAGCTGTTCATTATCACTGAACTCTCTTCCAAGACTAGCTCTTCTCTTAGTTCAAAAGGTCGGCTGGCGGAAGTCTAACTTGTCGTGCTTGCTGGTTTCAGTGAGGACAACACTTGGGAACCAGAAGAGAACCTGGATTGCCCTGACCTCATCGCTGAGTTTCTGCAGTCACAGAAAACAGCTCATGAGACAGATAAGTCAGAAGGAGGCAAACGCAAAGCTGATTCTGATTCTGATGATAAGGGAGAAGAAAGCAAACCAAAGAAGAAGAAAGAAGAGGTGAGACTTAGGACAGGGTCTTCACCAGCCAGAGGCCAGAGCATTGCAGCAGTTTGGTCCCACTTCGTCTCTCTCCTGTCCTCCCCTGTGCTTGTTTTTCCTTTACATTTTTATTTATTTATTTTGGAGAAGGTCTTGCGTAGAAGCCTAGGCCGCCCTCAAGCTTTGGCAGTATCTGGTCTTCTAAGTGTTGGGATTACAGTTTTGAGCTGCTATCCTTGAACTACTTCTCCCTTTTCATCTCAGCAGTCAGTCCTCTCTGTCCGGCAGAAATAGCTAAGGTTTTACAAGGATTTGGGGGCCAGCCGTGTACACAGCTGTAATCCTACCACGCAGGAGGATCAGGGATAAGAGGCCTGGACTACAGGAGACCTTATCTCGGCAAAACATAACAAAACAAAAGGATTTGGGGCTTACTCTTGTAAAGTGATCTAATCCTACTTTTTTCCGTGGTGCAAGAATGATAGCGTGGGGGCTGGAGAGATGATTCACTGGTTAAGAGCACTGACTCGCTGCTCTTCCAGAGGTCCTGAGTTCCATTCCCAGCAACCACATGGTAGCTCTCAACCATCTATAGTGGGATCTGATGCCCTCTTCTGGCGTAAAAGCATAGATGCTAACATGTAACAGTTACCAGAGACATAAGACAGCAACTGAATTCATTTCCTGTCAGTAGATGGAATTCAGTGTTTTGATTACTAAAGATTTGAGGTGGCTGTTTGGTCTTATTTAATATCTTAAGTAATTTTCCTTTGAAGAGACAGTGTGAACATTTCTTTTGCTTGGAGTGTGTGTTCCATTCATGCTGGGAAGAAGACCTCATGTGCTTCAGATTTAATGCATGGTGTGGGAAGCAGCGGAAGCCTTGAGTGAATGTTTGTGATTACATTTCTTAGAAGCACAGAATAACTTCATTCTGGATATAGTCCTTTGCTAATAAAATTGTTCTGCCCATCTGGTTTTTACAGTCAGAAAAGCCACGAGGCTTTGCCCGGGGTTTGGAACCTGAGCGGATTATTGGAGCTACTGACTCCAGTGGAGAACTCATGTTCCTGATGAAATGGTGAGTCTGGCAGTGGCTCTGTGTGGTTGTTCTTCCTTCTCCCCATCTGTTCTATGCCAGAGGAAAGAGCTGACCTTGGAAATTCCAGTCGCCCAGGTGTGAAATCTTTAAGATGACATAGTCCTTCGATAGTGATCCTCGGCCTGACTACAAACCTGGACTCATGAGTTACAGGTAGGGGCCTTAGGATTTCAGATCTTTGTGTTTTTTTTTTCCTTTCCCCCCCTCTTTTTTTTTTTTTTTTTGTAGGTGGGAGAGTATGGAGAGGAATCACATTTCAATTCTATTAAATAAAGAAAAAAAGTTTATGAAATGTGATTGAATTACCCTCCTTCTCTGCCACCTCCTTAGTAAAAATCAGGCTGGCCCCATAAACAGGATTCTGTTCATGTTTGAGGGTTAGGAAAGAATTTATAGAATTTATTTTGAAGATTCTAAATTTTCAAATCAGCCAGCAGGGGTCAGCAAGACCTCTACTGTTTACTGTTACTGAACATAATGTAAACCTGCTTCTTTCTATTATAAATAGTAGTGGTAACGATACAGACTTGTTCTAAGTAGAAACAGTGGGTAGCATTTGTTAGCACTGGTCAGTATCACCTGCTGAACATGCTTGTATTACTGTGTTTTTATGGACGGCCAGCAGAGTAGTAGGTTTCTATGACTACCTTTCAAACAGTGTAATGAAGAGGGGTTCAAGGTAGTCAGAGTAATGATCTTGGTTTTTTATTGTTTTGAGACAGTTGTACTCTATCTAGCCTAGCCTTCCTTGAGCTTGAAATCCTCCTGCCCCAGACTGTGTGCCGAGATTACAGGGACATGCCACCATGATGGACTAGGAAGAGTAAGTGTTAAGCCATTGCTAGTTAAAATAGGATTGTCAAGGCTTTGTCCTTTGATTGGTCGAGAAATTTCTCTGAAACTGATATCGATGGTAGTTCTTCCCTAGGTAATGGCTAAAAAAGAGGTTTAACTTGAATATAGGTGCAGGCCGGTGTCACAATCAACTAACCGCCTATTTTCTTCCTGTGTGTTCCTTAGTAGTTATTGATTCTGACCCTCATTTAGCTTATTTCTTCTAACTTAGAGGAGAAAAGAAAAACTGAATAATAGGGTGTTTTAAAGAGTTTAGCTAGTATACACTTGCTCTGCATATGACCAATGTGAGTTGCAGTGGTACCTCCATTTTGTATAGGGTTGTATTCTTGGCCAGATGTGGTTATGCACACTTACAATCCCAGCACTCAGGTAAAATGGAAGTATCACAGGGTGGAGGCCAGCTTGGCCTAGAGTACGATGAAGTCTTAAAAGCATAAACACACACACAAAAGAGCCAGTCATAACCGATATTTGTAATGACAGCACAAGAGGGCATCTGGTAATATAGAATAAGACTTTGCCTCAAATAGCAAACAAAAGGAAAGAAGTGTGCAGGATTGGTTATCTTACTACTATACTTAAAATTAATATTTGGGTGTTGGGCTAGGGATGTGGCTCAGAGATAAAGTGTTTACCTAACAAACAAAATTGGTGGGTTTGATTCCCAGCCCTGCAAAAAAAAAAAAAAAACCAAAAAACAACCCAAACCTTTGTGATAGGAATTTGGCTTACTCATAGAGGGCTTGCTTAGCATGTGCAAGGCCCATAACTTAATCCTTAGCATCTACTCCCTCACCCCCAAAAGTTTGAATGTTGATTATAAAACCCAAGGTTTTAAAAGTTACGCATGGCCAGGTGTGGTGGTGTGTGCCTTTAATCCCAGCGGTCAGCAAGTGGATCTCTCTTGAGTTTGAGGCCAGCCCAGTCTACATATCAAGTTGCAGAACTACATACAACAGTGGTTCTGTCTGTGGGTCACCTAAGACCATCAGAAAATAACAGATATTTATATTACAGTTCATAACTGTAGCAAAATTAGAGTTATGGAGTAGCAACGAAAATTATTTTATGGTTAGGGGTCACCACAACAAGAGGAACTATATTAAAGTGTCACAGCATTAGGAAGGTTGAGAACCACAGATAGAGAGAAACCCTGTCTCAAACAAAACAACAGCAAAAAGTGATACACGTATACACCCACGGCCCAGGGTATAGCTTTCTTAACATACACATGGCCCTGGCTTCCATTCCTAATCCCACACACATACATGCCCTTGACAAAAAAAAAATATGGGGCTGCAGAGATGACTCAGCAGTCCTTCTAGAAGACTTGGGTTGAGTTCCCAGCATCCCCATTGTAGCTCACTGCCTTATATAACTCCAGCTCCAGAGACTCTGACATCCTCTTCTGCCTCTGAGTGTGCTAGATATGTACGTGGTGTATGTACATACATATATTCGGGCAAAACACTTGTCATGTAATTTTTTTTTTTTTTGTAATTGTTAACCTGATTTTCTAGGAAAGTGGAGATACCTGTCTATAGAATATAGAATATATAATATATATATTATATATATATATATATACATACATACACACACATACATACATATATATATTGGTTTTTCAAGATGTGGTTTCTCTGTGATACATACAGCTTTGGCTGTCCAGGAACTCCATAGACCAGGCTATCTTCGAACTCACAGAGATCTGCATGCCTCTGCCTCCCCAGTGCTGGTATTAAAGGCATGCACCACCACCGCCCATGGAAAATATTTCTACATAGTGAAAAGTCTTAAATTTGTTCCAGAATCTTTCAGTTGGAAGAGGGCTGTGAGTTAGACACCCCGTAGGGATTCAGTACATTTCCCTCCATCTCCTTGGTATTTCTTACGGAAGCTTAACCATATCAGCTTATTCTCTGGTTCCCTATGGCTCTGGATTCTTGTTCTTGTTCCGGTTCTGGAGGCTTGAGGTGGTGCTGTGTCAGATTCTGTCATGTATCTGTTGCCTGCCCCATGCTGCTGCTTCTGTCTGGGACAGGCCCAGTTTAACACGACAATTGGGAAAACTAACAGAGCATTACATCCTAGTGCCTTCTTTGTCTACCCCCTCATGTTGGAGCTCTGTTAACTACTGGAGATGATGTGTGTGCAGGTCACATATGGTGGTAGTAAACAGTATGTCATAAGTAAGCAAGATCGTACCAGATCAGTCAGTATTAAGTCCTCTTACAAAGCCAAACTTGCTGTGTGCACTGACTGGAATATAGTTTTGGAAGAGTGTGGCAGAACCTCTTGTCCACCCTCTGGAATGTTAATGGAGCTTTCTTTGGCCTTTTCCAAAGACCTACCTTTTAACAAAGTTCCCAGAGGGGATTTTTAACAGGAGGAGGAAGATCTTTGAGGGTATCATGTGACAGAACCCACCCAGTAAATGCTGCTTGCATCCTGTTTTCCTAGTTTGTTTCTAGAATTTAGACTTTAAGCCCCATTCCCTGGGTGATCCAAATTAGGAGACCACAACAGCTGATCTCAAAGTTTCTTTGTGCTTTGTTCTGCAGGAAAAACTCTGATGAGGCTGACCTGGTCCCTGCCAAGGAAGCCAATGTCAAGTGCCCGCAGGTTGTCATATCCTTCTATGAGGAAAGGCTAACGTGGCATTCCTACCCCTCAGAGGATGATGACAAAAAAGACGACAAGAATTAGCCCTCTTGAGTACCGGCCCCTGTCACCTCTGACTGTGGGTTTCAGATGGGGAGGGAAGGAGTTCTACTTTCTTGACACCATAGAGGTGGCTTGAGAAGATGTCCTTTGAAGAGCCAGCATAGTTTCTGTGCCCTGCAGCAGCCCAAGTGCTTTAAATCGTTTTAAGCTGTATAATTTGCACACCCATCCCAGTGGAGGGGAAAGGGGTAAGTGTTTCAAGGCAACCCGTTCTGCGCTTTGCTAAGAAAGCAGAGGGCCTTCCATGAAGGACAAAACCTGCAGAACTGGGGTGTGGGAGAGCAAAGATACTGTCGATCTTCAAAGAGCATCTCCACAACCCACAGCCTTCCCAATAGTGTTAACTGCATTTTTACAGCCTAGCATGTGTGTAGTTTTTGGCTATTACTGGTATATTCATTGGGGGTGGGAGGGTTGGGGCAGGGAGGAAGGGAGATGGGTGGAATCATTTTGGTTAAAATTTGGGGTCTGATTGGGGATATGGTGAAACAGTAGAATGAACAGCTAACTAATCAATTGGTTCTATGTCAATATTTTGCCTTTTCAAAAAATTACATTGGCACCATTAATGAGGATTGAGAGACTGTTAAAACTCTGTGAATGCTGAAATCTGCAGCTAAGGTGCCCCCCTGCCTGAGCTCATTGTGGCCCACAAAGGACAAAGCCAGTTCCCGAGTTACCAAAGCTACCCTTTGAAGATGGAAACTGACTGCAGAGGGAAAGTTTTATTGGAGAGTATATACAGGCAGACCATTCTGCCTTCAGAGGTGCTAATTCCTGAAATTGAGAAAAAGACCTTTTTCCAATTATGAAATTATAAATATCAGTTTGTCCATCCAAGCCACTGGCTCAAGTACTGCAGGAGGGCCTGTATGGGAGATGGGAGCGGAGGGCCTGTGCTCTTAGGGTGGAAACTCTTAGGGCCTGTTTTTGTTTTGTTTTTCTCTTTTTTTTTTTTCCCAGCTTTGAACCCTGAAACTGCTTGTGGCAGGTTCAGTTACTGACAGCACAAATCCCATTGAGTCAATTCAAGGGTTGAGTGACTTCACAAGCCCTGGTCTCAGGAGATTCACTTTCATATTGGGGTAGTGGTTCATTGAGAATACAAACCTTCAGATTAACTATGTCCAAAATACTGTCTTGAATCATGAGATCCATCAATTTTTAGTATTGTCTAGACCTGCATCTAGAACTGCATTGTAAAATCTTTAAAGCATGTGTTAGATGTATGTGTGAAAATTTTGTTTAAATGTAAACTTCATACCATACTGTCAGTTTTTGTCTTAATAAAACTATAGATTTATAATTCTTGATTTCTGTCTTTTTTTTTTTTTTTTAAAGACCAGGTCTCCTTCCCCAGTATTGCTCACTCTGGCTTGGAACTTTGAATACTCTGCCTTCCAGTATTAGGATTACACAGGTGCATGTACCACTACAGTGGGTATGATTATCTTACCAGAAACCCCTCTTGCCTCAGTTCAGCTTGTTGGAAGTAGCATCCATGGCTTCATGACTATAGATGGACACTATAGGCTTGAAATCTGATGCCTTAATCTTTTAAATGGTCTCAATTTATTAATGTAGTAAATGCTTGAGCATTTATAATTGCTGTACATATTTTAAGAACTGTCAGCAGGGCGGTGGTGGTGCACGCCTTTAATCCCAGCACTTGGGAGGCAGAGGCAGGCAGATCTCTGTGAGTTCGAAGCCAGCCTGGGCTACAGAGTGAGTTCCAGGACAGACTCCAAAGCTACACAGAGAAACTCTGTCTTCAAAAACAAAAACAGACAAAAAAAAAAAAACTGTCACATCATTCTGTCTTTCATTGCTGAGAAATCATTTACTGAGAACACTTCCCACTTGAAAATAGACATTTTATGAACTAGCTTAATCAGTTGGATAGCATTAGCAGAAATCAACTCCAGAAGGTTTTAGGGATTGACACTATGTTTTAAATACCGGATTGAATGTCATCCATCATCTCTTTGGGGTTTTTTGTTTGTTTGTTTATTTTTGTTTTTTGAGACAGTTTCTCTGTGTAGCCCTGGCTGTCCTGGAACTCACTCTGTAGACCAGGCTAACTTCGAGCTCACAGAGATCCGCCTGCCTCTGCCTCCCTAGTGTACCACCACCACCACCACCCAGTCTGTCATCTGTCTTCTTGATGACGTTTTCTTCTGCCTATAATTCTGGAGCCCAAGTAGGAATAGATCTTTGTTGCTTTTAATTATTTTATTATCTTATTGTATGATGTTTTGCCTGCATGTATGTCTGTGCACCACTTGTGGGTCCAGTGTCTGGAGACCAGAAGAGAACATGTGATACAAGCTGATGTGGCCCATGTAGTGTTGGTGCGAGGAATCACACCAGGGTCCTCTGGAAGAATAGCCAGTGTTCTTACCCACCGTGCCATCTCTCCAGCCCTGTTTTGTTTTAGTACTAATTAGTATGTACACATACATGTTAAAAGTCAGGACAGCTCTGTGGAGTTGGGTTCAGGGAACCAGGCTCAGATTGCTTGCTGTGTTTTATGCACCAAGCCATCTCACTAGCACTTGCTTATGTGTTTTAAGACAGGGTTTACTCTAACTCAGGCTAGTCTGAAACTTCCTGTTTAGCTCAATCACCTTGACCTCAAGGTGACCGACCCTCTTGCCTTAGTTCCCCCAAGTGCTAGGGTTACAGGCATGTGTCACAAGGGCAGTTGGATTCTTGGCTGTTTTTTGTTGTTGTTTTGTGTTAGAGAACAAAGTCTCACTCCATGGCTGGCCTGGAACTCCCTACGTAGACTAGGCTGGTTTAAAAAACTTTGTGTGATCTTGTCTTTTAATTATGTATGTTTCTGTGTGGCTGTGTGTGTACATGAGTGCCGGTTGGTGCCTGGCTTCCCTTGGAGCTAGAGTTCCAGGCAGTTTTGAGCTGCTTGAGTGCTGGGACCTGTACTTAGATCCTCTGCAAGAACAGTACAGACTCTGTTGTTTACTTATGAGTGTTTTGGTTGCACGTTATGTCTGCACCACATGCCTACCAAGGTCAGAAGAGGTCATTCGATCAGCTGGAACCGGAGTTACAGTGAGCTGCCATGTGGGTGCTCGGAACTGAGCCTGTCTTCCAGCTGTGTGTGCTCTTAACTAATGAACCATCTCTTAAGTCCCCACACTCCCTGCCTGTCATTTTATTTAGTTTTAGGATTTGTTTACAAAGAGTCTCACTATGTAGCCCAGCCCAGGCCGGCCTTGAAGACTTAAATCTTCTTACCTCGGATCTTTACCTTTTTTTCCCCTTTTTTGTTTTGTTTTTCGAGACTGGGTTTCTCTGTGTATTCCTGGCTGTCCTGGAACTCACTCTATAGACTACGCTAGCCTCAAACTCAGAAACTCAGAGATCTGCTTGCTTCTGCCTCCCAAGTGCTGGGATTAAAAACGAGCCACCACCGCCGAGTACCCTTTTTTTTTTTTTTCCTTAAGGTGTGTTTTTGTTTTATGAGTGTTTTGTCTGCATGTATGTTTGTATACCAAATGCATGCCTGGTGCCCACAGAATTCAGAAGAAAGCATCAGCTTTCCACCTGGAGTTAAGGATGATTGTCAGTCATCATGTGTAGAGGTTAACAGAATCCTGGTTCTCTGCAAGAGTAGTAAATGCTCTTAATCATTGAGCCATCTCTCCAGCCCCAATTCTTAAGACTGGGATCCTTGTTCAGTGAAAAGAGGATAATTCCATTGAGATAAACATGTAGATGCTGTTTTCAAAGTGCCCTAGGGGAAGTTTTGGAGGGATGTAAGTAAAGAGAAACTAGGAAATCTTACTTACCTGGTCATGAAGTCCTTCTGTACAGAGGTCTCTGTCATTGTAGGTAGGTACGGCAACACAGAGGTCTGTAACAACTGAGTTTGGCTGAGATGGGTACAGGCGTTTTGTCCTGTACTATCAGGTGCACTAAACTGAGACATCAGCCTTGATACATCCCAAATAAGCAGCTGTTCGTTTCTACTTTCTTAAAAATTATTTGTATTTTATGTGCATTGGTACACTGCCTGCATATGTGTCTGTGTGAGGGTGTCAGATCCCCTGGAACAGGAGTTACAGACAGTTGTGAGCTGTCTTATGGGTGCTAGGAATTGAACCCAGGTCCCCTGGAAGAGCAGCCAGTACTCCTAACTGCTATGGCTCAGCAGTTAAGTGCCTAGGCTCACAACCAAAACTGGTTCTATTTTTAACCCTTGGAACCAACTTCACAGGAATTTCTAGCATTCTTGACCTGTGGAAAAACCTTGTCATGGGCTGGAGAGATGGCTTAGTGGTTAAAAGCATATACTGCTCTTGAAGAAGACCCAGGTTCAGTTCCCAGCACCCAAGTCAGGTGCTGTAACTACAGCTTCAGGGGATCCAACACTCATTTTTGCCTCTGCTGGTACCTACACTCAGGTGTATATACCCACACACAGACACATAATTTAAAATTACGTGGTGGCGCATGCCTTTAATCCCAGCACTCAGGAGGCAGAGGCAGGCGGATCTCTGTGAGTTCAAGACCAGCCTGGTCTACAGAGTTAGTTCCAGGACAGCTAGGGCTGTTGCACAGAGACAAACCTGTCTCAAAAAAACACAACTAACTAAATAAAATCTTTAAAAAATAATAATCTTCCCATGAGGCAGTGGTGGAGCACACTTTTAATCCCAGCACTTGGGCAGAGGCAGGCGGATGGATCTCTTCAGTTCCATCAGCCAGGGCTACACAGAAAACTTCATCTGGAAAAAAAATGATCTTGCCATGCTCCTTCAGGGAAGACACTGAAGATGTGCATGCAGCACAAACTGTGTTCACTGACAATTTTCTTTTTCCAGTCTTGGGACAAGGTCTCATCTGTGTAGCGCAGGCTGGCCTCAAACTCAGATCTGCCTTCCAAGTGCTGAGATTACTGACAATTTTCTAAAGACCAATTAGCACATTTCCAGGTAAAAAGTTTAAGAGTAAAATTGTCTTAAGTGATTGTTGTAGATGCACATGCAAAATTGTTAATTATAAGTAGGTACAACAAAGTTGGGGAGACGGCCCAGCAGTTAAGAATGCTTGCTGCTCTTACAAAGGACTGGAGCTGGGTTCCCGTCACCCACGTCCTTCCACACATAATATAGCCCCAGGGAACCAATGTCCTCTTCTGATCTCCACAGGCAACCCAACACGTGTGCATACACATAGACACATACATAAATGATAGATGGCTTCTATGAAATCTCACCATCATGGACCCGGAACTTGTTAATATGGCAATGGGGTTGTCTGCTTCCGTTTGTTTTCACTGTATGGGGAACTGAACCTAAGGCCTGTGCATTCGCCAAGTGTTTTCCCAACTGAGCCCTATCGCCAGCCTTTTCTCTTTCTAGATAGGGTCTCACTAAGTCACCCAAGTTACTACTGAACTCTCATCATGCCTTAGCCTGGTAGGTGCTGGGATTACAAGTGTGGGCCACATACCAGTATCTTGGTGTCCTGTAACTGTCAGAGCCTGTTACAATCTGGCTCTTCCCCCTGACTTCAGTTAAATTTGTTAATATTGTAAGTGAACTATGCAGTGGCCACAGAAACACTTGGAAGTCCTTTCTTTCATGTGTGGATGTTTGCACGTGTAGGAGTGTGCACGTGTCTGAAGGCTAGAGATTGATGTGTCCACTTTATTTTACTGAAGCAGGGTGTCTTTTGTGGTTTGTGGGGCAAGTGCTTTCTCAACTGAGCCATCTCTCCAGCCTTGAAACCTCTCTGCCGCTGACTTTCAAGTACTCCGATTTGCAAAGGCAAAAATCTACCAATTTAATTTTTTAGCAGCTAATTTTTTAATTTTCTGTATTGAGTGTTCTATCTGCATGTATTCTTTTATGTCAGAAGAGGGCACCAGATCTCATTACAGATGGTTGTGAGCCACCATATGGTTGCTGGGAATTGAACTCAGGACCTCTGGAAGAGCAGCCAGTGCTGTTAACTGATGAGCCATCTCTCCAGCCCCTGCCCCTACTTTTTAAGACATGATCTCGGGCTGGAGAGATGGCTCAGAGGTTAAGAGCACTGCCTGCTCTTCCAGAGGTCCTGAGTTCAATTCCCAGCAACCACATGGTGGCTCACAACCATCTGTAATGAGATCTGGTGCCCTCTTCTGACCTGCAGTCATACATGCTGTATATGTAATAAATAAATAAATCTTTAAAAAAAAAAAAAAAAAAAAGACATGATCTCGAGCCGGGCGTGGTGGCACACGCCTTTAATCCCAGCACTCGGGAGGCAGAGCCAGGCGGATCTCTGTGAGTTCGAGGCCAGC